TAGGAGGATCTGAGAGGTGACTGAGCTGATTGAATGATCCGTGACTGCTATACTGAGACCAGTAGTAGAACTTGACTGGTGGAGACCTGCTGGAGGTTTGAGAGTAGACTTTGAAAATTACTAGAGCTACACAGATACTGTGTGGCTAACTGGATTATGTTTGGAGGCTTTCAGAACTATGCTGCTACTGCTGCAGTGTAGCCAGGACAGGCAAAGAACATCTAAGACTCTTAAATGGGGCGATAGGGACAGATTTCAGCAGCCATCTGACTTCACGCTCATTTTGATGCTTTCACTGCAGGGTGCAGTGTGCAATGTGCAGTGGTGGGAAGCTCACACAGGAGTACTTTCTTTTGTAGCCCTAATTTCCAGTTCAAACTCTGCATTCACCTTGACAGATTCTTTTCTTGGCCAAAATTTAGTTAGGCTTCTGGGTTTTCTCTTATGCCTATCTGTGGACTTTTTTGTAAAATCCAGTTTTAGTAAAGAACTCTGCTAAGTCAGTTTAGCAAGAATCGCCACCTCAAAAGTCACTATCTGCCTCCCCAGTAATGTCTGGCTTATCTTCAGCAAGAATTCTGTTAGGTTCTGTTAGGTTAGAATCCTCCTTACCCTTGATGCTTCCTCTTAGTATTTTTTCATTCATTGACCCCTTGACCCACCTTGCTCCTTGGCTATAAATTCCCACTTGCCCATACTCTGCAGTTAAGCCTATTTTCTCTCCCCTACTGCAAAATCTCATTGCCATGGTCCCTATGCCTATCTCAGTGGTAAGGAATAAAGTCTGCCTTTCCATGCTTTAACAAATATCATTGAACCATTTTTTCTTTAACAATGTACTGCACAATGGGATTACTAAAACTTTATTCCATTTTGTCATGCTGGATGTCCTCAATGGAATGGCTCTTGTGAGCACCAAATCATTGCGAGAAGAAAAACCTATGTCTTACAGCCCCCTTCCTACATGTGATGTATGTTACATCGTTGTTGTTTTTTTTTTCATGTTGATCACTTTTGTCCATTTTCCTATATCTTATCAGTTGGAAGACTGTGGAAGTTTGTAGTACTAAGCCACAAGATGACTAAGAAGAGTTGAAAGGGCAAGTGGGGCTAAAAACAGATTTTGTTTGCCTTACCCCACCATTCCCCCTATAATGGGGCCAAATCTACTTGGAAGAAGGAGCATCTTTATCTTTGTACTGTGAACCATACAGTCTAGCAGCAGCACAGCCAAGGCATTTGGGGTTTCATGAGACTAAGTACATGCAATTCTATTGTAAAGGCTTAACATATATACAATTGACCCTTGAACACCACGGATTAGAATTGCATGGTCAGTTATATGCAGATTTTCTTCCACCTCTGCCACCCCTCAGACAGTAAGATCAACCAATCCTCTTCCTTCTCCTCCTCAGTCTACTCAAAGATACTTGAAGTCTACTTGAAGATGACAAGCACGAAGACATAGTAAATATATTTTTTCTTCCTCCTAATTTTTTAACACTTTCTTCTCTCTAGCTTAATTTATTGTAAGAATACAATCTATAATACCTATGACATACAAAAGAATTTATTGTAAGAATACAATCTATAATACATATGATATACAAAATATTCTTAGATGACTGTTTATGTTATCTGTAAGGCTTCAGGTCAACAGTATGCTATTAGTGGTTAAGTTTTCGAGGAGTCAAAAACTGTATGTCGATTTTCAACTGCATGGGGGTGGGCACCCCTGTCCCCATGTTGTTCAAGGGTCAACATTACTGCCAAAGGCAAGCCTTTGCATCCACTTTTTTCATCCCATCAGTAAATGGAAAAGGATAGCTACAGTATCCCTGCATCATATCTTTTTTTTTGCAGATCACAAATCGACCACTACCTTGCTCTGTGAGGGGTAAAATGCCCCACTTTCTTTGGTAATATTTAAGTTATAAAGTTTTTCTTTGTCATTGTAATTTTTACATAGTTTCTTTCAAATAGAAAAAGCACTTTTGTTAGATAACCTCCCGTATAGATGATGACACTCCTTTTAATTCCTTGAAAAGGCAGAAATTGGATTTCTAGTAGTTATAAATGTACTATGGCTTCCCCCAACCATCCGGGCTATATAGCAGCTGCATCCCTCGACTGCAATAAAGGATTCTTACAAAGCACAGAGTAACTTCTCTCCTGGGCTGCACTAGTTACGATGGCAATTTTAAATGTGTACTTTCATCCAAAGAAAACCTTATTATCAGCAATCACAATGCCATCATAAACATGGTATGAAAAATTCAAAATGTCCCAGCTAAAGTGGAGGCAAATAATCAAGTTCATGGAGTCTGAGTTTCCTTGCTATTCCTCTTTTTCAAATGACCATTTAGTAAGCACCTGAAGAAAATACTATGGAGGGCATTGAAAAGTGAAGATAGGTTTAATCTTCTCGAAAATCTCATTCTCTAGATGAAACGCTGATACTTATCCACCTGACAGACCCTACAGCAGATGTGTCACTGGCCATCACATTTGACACAGTGAAGTCACAACGCTTAGCACAGACACGGTTCCATGAGTTTCTGAAACATGGACAGAACGTCATCTGTGGGACATGAAAACTGGAACTTAGAGGACAGGCACATCTGAGAAATGGGCAGTTTAAAGGCAGAACACAGCACATACGTGACTAGGTTTTAGAAGCAAATTTACAAGATGCACTCTTCTTCATCCTAAATAATCTGCAACCAAAGCTTACAAAAAAGACAATTTAGGAATGCGGAGGTGAGGAGTGGGGAGGGGAATGGGATGAGAAAGAGTGGAGATTAATGGTGGGCAGAGCAAGGCTTAGAACTTAGTGGTTTCTTCAAGTTCTGAACAGAGATTTGTATACTGTAAAGGTAAAAACACCATTTTTAACAAATGTGAGCAGGACTTCCTATCTGATTCAGAAAACAGGTGACTAAATAGTAAGAATTATCAAAAATAATAATTTCCACTTATACATAGGAAACTTGATAGGAACCAAGATAAATGCTTAACTCTTAATCTTCAAAGAACTCTGCTGGGGATATAGTATTATAAACTTTGTTTTACAGATGGAGAAATTGAATTTTAACCCAAGGTATCATAACCCTTAAATGATTAAATTACACTGTTACATGAGAAAGCTATGTATCTGTTTTCTGGATTTGTAGCCATAATTTGTGTCCCAAGTCCCTTTTGCTGCCAGCTATCTTGGGTAGGTGTGTTCCCTTTGGGCTGTTTGATACCCCCAAATTTATCTTTTTTTTTTTTCTTTTTTTTTTTTTTTTGAGACAGAGTCTTTCCCTGTTGCCTAGGCTGGAGTGCAGTGGTGCAACCTTGGCTCACTGCAACCTCTGCCTCCTGGGTTTAAGCGATTCTCACGATTCTCCTGCCCCAGCCTCCCGAATAGCTGGGGTTACAGGCATGCACCACCAAGCCCACCTAATTTCATATTTTTAGTAGACACAGGGTTTCTCCATGTTGGTCAGGGTGGTCTCGAACTCCTGACCTCAGGTGATCTGCCCACCTCGGCTTCCCAAAGTGCTGGGATTACAGGTGTGAGCCACCATGCCCGGCCCCAAATTTATCTTTAATGCCCCAAATTATCTAGTTCCCATGACTGGGCTTCTGCTTTGATCCTTTCTGCACTTGTTGAACCCTCTCCCCGGGAACTGAAATTGTCCTGAGCCCCTAGTTAGAGGCTGTGTCTCTGCTGTTCCTGAATGGGCCTCCTGGATGAGCCCTCATTAAAAGTCTAATTCTCTCAGAGAATTGAGAGATACCTATTTGTCTCAAAATCATTGAAACTGATTATTGTATTATGAGCCTCTATCCAGTGATTTGTACCTCAATTCCCCAATCCAGCTGTCAAGGCCAGTTTGTTCTACCTTACCTAGTAGGTAAGTCTGGAATTGTAGCTGTGGCATTTTCAGTAATGGTACTCTAGGTTAGTGGTCTCTAACCTTTTTGGCACCAGGGACCAGTTCCGTGGAAGATAATTTTTCCACGAAGGGCTGGGCAGGGGAGTGGTTTCAGGATGAAACTGTTCCAGCTCAGATCATCAGGCATTAGATTCTCACAAGGAGTGTGCAACCTAGATCCCTCACATGTACAGTTCACAATAGGGTGTGCACTCCTACGAGAATCTAACGCTGCTGCTGATCTGACAGGAGACAGAGCTCAGGCAGTAATACTCACTTGCTTACCACTCACCGCCTGCTGTGCAGCCCGGTTCCTAACAGGCCACGGACCGGTACTGGTCCATGGCCTGGGCATCAGGGACCCCTGTTCCTAGGTATAAGCATCTGGCTGCTGTGTGTCTTCTGTGTAGCTACACCTGTGTGTGTATCTGATGAGATATAAATTATTTGATTATAAATTACTTTCTTCATATTAGTTGTGACTATCACATATAATTATATATAAACGAGGAATATACTTTTTAATAATGTATGTATGTAAGTTTCCTTAACTATGACTTTCATTCTAGAGTAGTAAGAGGGTGCTAAGAAATATTTGTGATGAAAATAGGCATTGGTAGAGTTGAGACCACTGGATGATGAAAGAGTGTAAAGACTTTTAAGACTTCAGATTCTGGCTCAAGGTGAGAAATGTGATTGGGAGCAAATCAATTAACTTCTTGGAGTCTTATAGGGCAGTTATGAATATTTAATGTTAATATATATAAAGATCTTCTGCCCTGTTTACACTAAATGCTAAATACTGTTAGCTATTATGATCACTACTAAAATGGAGATAACATATACCTCATAAGGTTTTAAGTATTATGCAAGACGCTATACAAAGTACCTAGTTAACCGTAAATGTCCAGTAAATATCACATTTAATTGAATCCATGACGTCCGATTATTTTAGCTACTTCCAAGAAAGAAAAAAATGCTGTCAATTTTACTGTTGTTATAGAGAGCAAGGCAGATCCCAATTCCCAATGAAGTAAAATGTGAAATTTTTTGCATTTGAATCAACAAAACACTTTCTCCTTTCTTTCCTACTATTTAACAACTGGTGAGAAGTCTATACTCCCCCAAATCTGGAATTCTCCTTTCTTTTTCTTTTTCCTCCTACCAAGACTGCAGGATCTCTTACTTGGCTATAAGGAGTAAACCTAAAGTAGTACAAGTTCTCTGTATCACTTTTATACTCTATCACAGATTCCCTTTATTTCCTCATCTCCATGTGAATTTAGTTAAATTCTCACCATTCTGATCCTTACTATACAAGGTAAATGAATATAAAAACAAAATGAAACAAAAACCTCTTCCTATTTACCTAAGGCCTTCAAACCTAATATTTAGTGATGTATATTAATGGCATAGTGATCTGATCAGACACTTCACGTGAACCAGGAACTAACAAAGAGCAGGAAGAAATTCACAGACTTGAGAGAAGAAATGGCAGGATTTCCTGGGTACAATTTCATGTAATGTCAAAGATGGTAAAAGGTCAAATAGAATGAAGATGGAGAATACCAGAATTTGCTACAAAATGATTTCCCAGGAGATCTCATCAAATGCACAAGGATATTTTCTCAGTTTCACCTAGTGAGTACAAGATTGCTAACACAGCTCACTTATGATTTGGATAAACTAAACAAACATCAAAAATTCAGAAAAATTAATAGCAAGACAGAAATCAAACACTCAAATTTTTGGTCCTTCTGTTTATTTCATTTTGGTTACTCAGTGAACATTAACCGGGAGACTTAAAAGTTATTTCAATTATGAACCGCTTCAATCCTTCATCAATTACTTTGAGTATTCTGGTCTTAAAAACATCCCTTTCTTCTATAAACTTCTGAAAGAGGTGAACACCTCCACCTACACCAAAATAATGTGCTTTGCTAGCCAAAAGTACACGTCCATTTTTACTTAACAGTCTAAGGAAAGTCTGGTGCAAATTACTGTAATAATCTGGGTTGTAAATGGTTTCTGAGGTGAGAATGAGATCATATTTTACAAAAAGTTTTTCACTGCTTAGTACAAGCTTACAAAACTCAGACCACTCACCAGAAAAAAATCGGCATTTATATAGTTCTTGTGTTACTTTTGGTTTCTTGCATCTTTTCAGATCTGGCTCATTTACATCATTTTCTTCATCTTCCAAAGTGGAATTAGCTACTACATTAGCTAAGGTTACTTCATCAATCACCATACTGTTATAATCTTGAAAGTGAATTTCTTTGGCCCCTCCCTTGAATGCAGTTATACCCAGTAAACCTGATCCACAACCAAGATCCAAGACTTTTTTCCCGGCAAATTTCACTTTGGCCTTTGTGAAATAAGCCAGGAGGTCAAAGGTACATTCCCAGATTTTTAAGCCTCCTTCATAAACACCTGTAATCAGATCAGAGTGAGAAGAAAAGCTTTTTGAAACTATGTTTTCTCCAGGGAAGTTCTCTTTCAACAAGATGGTTTTCACTACTGAGAAGTTAACATGATGGAAACCTGGTAACGTTTCTATGACTTTATTTTCTAACATCTTTAAATCTTTAGGCATAGCATGCTCTTTAGCAGCTCTCAAGGAGGGCTGTTTTCCATATGGCTCCAAGTTACTTGAATTGTAGGCTGCACTGAGTGGACTGTCTGTGTCTTGAGAGGGAGCTGCATTTTCCATTGACTTATGTTCCCACAAGTGACCCTGAAGCAAGTCAAATTGTTCTGCAGAACATTTTCTGTCCCTGTCTTCTCCTTTTTGACTTTCTGAGACTGACAGCTCTTTTGAGGAATCCAGGGTCAAAGCTCCATCTCCAGTGGGTGTTAATTCATTTTCCAGATGGTCTTCTATAGTGAAATTAAACTGAAAGGTCATCTTCTTATTAAATGCACACGATTGTTAAATTCAGATTCTTCAACTTCTGGATAGAATTTGATGACACACACAAACCTGCCTCAATTATTCAATTAATTTTGTTGGGCCCAATTTCTCTTTAGCAGCTTATACATGGTAACAAACATTTAGAGGTATTTCCAAATTACTTTTTAGACGTCTTCGGTCCTCTTTCCATGTAACTCTGGAAAGAAAAAAAAAACAGAAAGAAAATGATGATTAAAGCAAAATGGCACATTTCACTAAAGTGTAATATTAAACAGCCACCTCCAATCCCTCCCCGCCCCACTATATAGTTGCCTTTTCTAAAAAAGCTGTGGGGAAGAGAGAGAGATAAAGAGATTTGGACGCTCATATACACCTTAAGGGTTCAAAAGTGGGAGAAGAAAATCAGCTATAAAAACAAACAGAAGAACAGCAGCAGCAACCACCACCACCACCTGGACAAACATAAAGTCCAAGATATTCAGACAGGACGGCCTAGTTACTTGCCATCTTTCAGCTGTCTTGACTGTGTCCAACCATATTCACCCCCTAAGCTTCCAGAATAATTTCACTTCTGTCTTTTACAAAAGACGTACAATATTTTATTTTGATAAGTGGGCGTCCCTTTAAAAACATGCATAGGTACGGTCTGGTGTGTGTAAATTCATCCAAGACTTCACTCCAAACATTTAGTCGAGAACAGCAGCCCTAAGTGTATGGAAGTGGGGGTAATTTGGAAATAATTAGTAAAGACTAATTTGATGGCAGAGCGAACGCAAACTAGGGCAATGCAGTAGTTTGGAGAGGCCTGTAGAAATCAGAAGCAACTTTATTGGGAATCTTCTATCCACTGCGCTAGACACTATACCATCTGCCTCTGTTTTTACAGTTCTGGCAAGTGAGATCTTTATTCCCTTTACACAAGATTTACAATTCGGGGGAGAGGAGGGTCACCCAGTCCAGCGGCTAGGAACGCGCCTCTTTTCTCTCCCATCACGCTGCAAGGCTCGGAGTCACTTCCGCCTGCAGGTCCCAGGACAAATCCGACCCTAGAAGTGCAATCTCAAAACCCCATGGGTAGCAAATCTGGGACTTCTGGCCCTCACCTCCCCATTTGAATGTAATGTTTACAGTGATCCAGACCTGAGAATGCTAGCTTCCCGACACGTCCTGGGATCGCGAGTCTGAAAATCTCACCTCACGACACCTCCTCCGGACTGAAATCGCGCACCAGCGAGTCGAGTCCTCCGGAGGCTAGAGAAGCCCGACTTTCTTTCCGGCCTTGAGGGACCCGGGCTCACCAAGAAACCAGCCGTCCTCCTCTCTATGGTTCTGGAGCCGGCGGAGAGAGCGCAAGGGTTGGCGGGACTGTGAGTTTCCGGTCTGGGCTGTGGCGGGACTGTGAGTTTCCGGTCTGGGCTGTGGCGGGATTGGTTTGAAGGTGTGCTGTTTGACGAAAGTATGTCTCAGGAACGCGCCGTCCCGGCTAGCGCGGTTCCCCTGGAAGAATTAAGTAGCTGGCCAGAGGAACTATGCCGCCGGGAACTGCCATCCGTCCTGCCCCGACTCCTCATATCCTTCCTTGGTTGTCATTTCCACCTAGAGAGGGGTGTGGGCGGGTCGCGAACCTTTCTCTTCTGTGCCGTCAGACTCACCGTCAGGCTGGGTTATATTACCGCGGCGTGAACCCCTTCTTTTCTTTGTCAGTGAGTGGGATGAAAAGCGAGGGACTGGAGGGGAAGCGACAACCATGGTAGATCTAAGGCTTTGGCCCTGGAAAGGCTCGCGGACGTGTTCTGACCTAAGGGTTTAGCAGTGGATGTGGCGTTTTCTTCCATTCCTTCTTTGAGTTTTTCTGTACTCGTTGCTTGCAATTAAGTGTAAATACTTTTGGTAGTGGGTAATGGGAGAGGCAAGGACTCAGACCTGGGGTATGAGGATAGCTCTGGCTCTTAATAGGTTGAGATAAAGCGAGATACTGTGAGCTTTTGTCTCCCGTAAAAAGGGTGGTGAATATGAATAATGCCTTTCTTAGCGTTGTAAGAATTAAAGGACACAGTTCTGTGGTGTGAAATCTTTAAAAGATGTTCAGTAAATAAAAATAATTTTCCTTCTTCCTCTCTCAGACCTCTTCTTCCTCCTTTTTTTTTTTTTTTTTTTTGAGGCAAGTTCTCACTCCTCTTGCTGGGCTGGAGTCTTTTTCTGAAAGAGTTGCTTCCGCTTGTTGGCTTTTGGCTGTTGCATTTGAGGCGCTTAGCGCCTTTGTCATCCAGATACAGCACATTCTTGATTGGTCTCATGCCTTTGTGGTTGTAAATGTGCCTGGAATCCTAGCCTTTTCATGGTAAACCATATGTATATGTATCTTTTTCACAACTTTTGAGCCCACCTTTATACAATTACACTCAAAAGAGAAAAAGTAACCTTCACTTGAGACAGTCTCAACACTGCACAAATATTGTGCAGCTAAAGCCCCATATAATCACATAGAAGTCATTCACCTAGACATTAGCAAAATCTCAGAAAGTGCCAAGGCCCCCTTTTTAAGTTTTTGTATAGATACACAATTGCCGTCTTAAAGGAGTTTCAACTTGAAAACAAATAGCCACCCTAAAAACATTCAAAAACACTTAAACTGCATGCATAATGTGACACGGAACATGTTTCCTCTCCTTCCCCACAAGCTTATAGAGAGACTTCATTAAGTTGAAAGTCAACATTCCCACTTAGCTTTGCACTTCAAACGACATATTCAAAAAAGCCGGAACTTCTTCCTCTGGTTTTCCTCATCTGAGTAAATGGTTTCACAAACTGAAACCTTGAATCCTGTCTCTCTCACACACCCGATCAATAAGTTCTATTGTTTCAGATTCCAAACTGTCTTGAATCAATCCATTTATTTCCATCCTCATTGCTACCACTCTGATTCCAAACCCCTATCACCCTCTCACTTGGAGTATTAATAGTTTCCTTGTTTCTACTCATAATTATTACAAGAAAGCTCAGAGGGGAAAAACACAGATCACGTAATTTCCCTTTTTAAACCACTTTACCTTCAAGGCTCCAGGTGATCTAAGCCTTGCCCTTCTCTCATACCTAGTTAACTACACTCTATTCATGAATACATTAGGCTCACCTACCTCAGGATCTTTGTGCTCAGCCTGGTTCTCCCAGCCTTTTGCATATTTCATGTTTATATCTTGGCCCAAATGTCACCTCCTTAGAGGGGCTTTTTCAGAACCTTCAATCTTAGGTAGTTCCCCCAAACCCAGTCTTACACTTGTATCAATTGACCTGTTCAGTTTTCTAAAAAGCACATTATCGTTAAAAGAAATGCTCTTGTTTGCTTTGTATATTTTCCACTTTTACACATTACGTTGCAAAGTTCATAAAAGCAGCAAGTTGATTTTCTTCACAGCGTTATCCTCAGCACCTAGAACAGTGCCTGACACATAGTAAGCATTCATTAAAGGGCTAAAAATATTTCATGTTTTAAAAATTCTTGAGAGTCTAATTAGACAATACTTTTTTTGCAGCTTATGGTAGTATTTTAGCTTCACTATTTTAACAAATGAAAAATTTGCAACAAATCTACAATGCCACTACCCCCCAAAATCATTTTCATGTTTTGCATTTTACATATTATTTTCTAGGCCTTACCTGCATGTCTGCATAATCATAACTGACTAATTTTGGAGCAGCTAGCAATTATTTGAGCTTTACTGAAATTTTTTCATGAGGCCAATTCTATCCTACTGAACTCAAATTTGAGTTAATGATGACCTCATTTTGATTGCTGCTGTAAAAATATATGTGGAAAATAATTTTTCAGAAGAGGAATGAATTCTTGTATTAGTGTCGTGGGATTATAGGTTCCTTTTTTGTTTTTTTTTTTGAGATGGAGTCTCACCCTGCCACCCAGGCTGGAGTGCAATGGCGCCGTCTCAGCTCACAGCAGCCAGGTTCAAGTGATTCTCCTGCCTCAGCCTCCTGAATAGCTGGAATTACAGGCACGCACCACCATGCATGGCTCATTTTTTGAATCTTTAGTAGAGACAGGGTTTCACCATGTTGGCCAGGCTGGTCTCGAACTCCTGACCTTGTGATCTGCCTGCCTTAGCCTCCCAAAGTGCTGGGACTACAGGCGTGAGCCACCGCGCCCGGGCAGGTTATTCATTTTTCTTGTTGACATTCTTTGATGATTCTTATAGTGTTGTTACAGTAAAACATTTCTAACAATTATTTTTGATGGTATATATGGAGAATTTGTTGTCATGTATTTGTAAGCTGCTATGTGCAGAAGAATTTCAGTCTAATAAGGTTGGTAAGATAGATATGTAAGTAATATGAAAATAAGATAAAAGGGGATGAGTGACGCAAGACAGGTATAAATTAAGTACTATAGAAATGTTGAGGAAAGAGAAATTTCTTGTAATAGAAATTGGAAGTACAAACTGGGCATGGTGGTGTGCGTCTGTAATCCCAGCTCCTTGAGAGGCTGGTATGGGAGGATCACTTTAGCCCAGGAGCTTGAGGCTGCAGTGAGGTATGATCATGTCACTGCACTCCATCCTGGGTGACAGCAAGACCCTCTTTTTTTTTTTTTTTTTCCTTGACACGGAGTCTTCCTCTGTCGTGTATGCTGCAGTACAATGGCGCAATCTCGGCTCCCTGCAACCTCCGCCTCCCAGGTTCAAGTGATTCTCCTGCGTCAGTCTCCTTAGCAGCTGAGATTACAGGCGCGCGCCACCATGCCCACCTAATTTTTTTGTGTTTTTAGTAGAGACAGTTTCACCATGTTGGTCAGGCTGGTCTCGTACTCCTGACCTCTTGTTCCACCTGCCTTGGTCTCCCAAATTGCTGGGATTACAGGCGTGAGCCACCCGCCTGGCCCCGAGCGAGACCCTCTCTCAAAAAATAAATAAATCATAAACCTGTGGATTATTGTAGCACTGTTTCTCATCTGTCAAAAATATTTCATGACTATGCATAGTTTGAAAAGGCAAGTTTGTCCTTGGGCAATTTTCAAAATATTTCTTTAATGTATTTTCACAATACTGTTTACCTAATCTTAAGTTTTTAAAAGCAAAATTAAGCCAGTAATTTGAGTCCAATTCCAATCTCTTATGGGTCATTGCTTAAATTTCAAAAGGGTTTTTTTTTTTTAAAGTTTATTCTGATAACGAATACCCTATTATTGTGATACTAGTATCTTCCTTAATTATCCTACTCATTGTCTCAACATTCTGACAGTTGGATTGAGCATGTTCGTAAGTTAAATTGTTTTAACTGTATTATTTGATGTTAAGGTCCGAGTCCCCACATACCTCAATGGATGTGTCCTTACAGTTTTGTATTCCCTTGAAATGTAACTGTTTTCTATGTTACAGCCTTTATAACCTTCAGTTACTTGAAATGAACAAATTCCTTCAAATTCCAGCACTTAAAAGTTTTAAATTACGTTTTGGATAAATACCAAAAGTGTTTTGTTGATGATGTATGTATAAAAAAATTATAAATATTAAACGTTATGATTAGACCTATGTAAAACATGATTTACAGTCCACTGAATAACTATCAGTCTCTAACATGTTTAGTGTCATTTAGAAAATACTTTCTAAATTGTCAAAAGCTGATTGTCTAGGTGATAACAAATTTATCATTTGGAGGAAGTTGGCTTTCTCATTTTCATGTCTTCTTCAGTCTTACTTGACAAGATTTATTCTTTTAGTCAGAAGAGAGTTTAGACTGCTCAGTTTACTCATATTTTGAGTTAGCTTTTCTATTTAGAGTTCACTTGGTTGTGGAATATTCATTTATAATTTGAATCTACATTGTGTAATGGGACCTAATTTTTTTTTTTCCTTTGTTTTTGATGAAGTCTCATTCTGTCACCCAGGTTGGAGTGCAGTGGCATGATCTTTGCTCACTGCAACCTCCACCTTCCAGGTTCAGGTGATTCTCCTGCTTCAGTCTCCCAAGTAGTTGGGATTACAGGCATGCTTCACCACATCTGGCTAATTTTTGTATTTTTAGTAGAGATGAGGTTTCACCATGTTGGCCCGGCTGGTCTCAAAACTCCTGAGCTCAAGTGATCTTCCTGCCTTGTCCTCTATAACTACTGGGATTACAGACATGAGCCACCAAGCCTAGCCCCGAAGTTTGTTTTGTTTTGTTTTCGAGACAAGATCTTGCTCTGTTACCCAGGCTGGAGTGCAGTGGTGTGATCATAGCTCACTGCAGCCTGAACTCCTGGGTTCAAGCTATTCTCCTGCCTCCATCTTCTAAAGTGCTGGGATTACAGATCTGAGCCATCATGCTTGGCCTACTTTTTTGTTTGTTTGTTTTAGGGGACAGGGTCTTGCTTTGTCACCAAAACTGGAGTGTAGTGGTGCGAACACAGCTCACTGCAGCCTCCATCTCCCAGGCTCAAGCAGTCCTCTCACCTCAGCCTTCCAAGTAGTTGAGACCGTAGGTACGTGCTACCATGCCTGGCTAATTTTCTATTTATATATTTATTTTTTGGTAGACATGAGGTCTTGTCATGTTTCCCAGGTTGGTCTTTTTAACTCCTGGGCTCAGGCAGTCCTCCTGCCTCAGCTAACCAAAGTGTTGGGATTACAGGCATGAGCCACCATGCGTGGCATAATTTTTTTTGAGTAAATTTTTTTTTATCTTGAGTATAGAAGTGATTCATGTTCATTGTGGAAAATATGAAACATAGAAAAACAGAAAAGATTACAAAACATCTAATCTGAAATGGTTAAGATTTTGATGAGAACAGTCTCATCTCATTGCCGTATGTTCCTGCCAGCCTATGCATCATTCTTTGTACATGTTTATATTAAAATTGGTGTTATATTTTGGAAACTTTTTGTTTAACTACATTTTGAACATTTTTCATGTTTTAAAATGTCATTTTAATGATGGCAGATCCTATTCAATAGATATACAGACACCTATTCAACTGGTCCACAGTTGTTGGATATGTAGGTTGTTTCCTTTCTCTGTCGCTGTCTCTCTTTTTTTTGGCTATTACTTAATAGTTTCCCTACATAGAATGTGGTGTTTTGAAAGTATATCAAGCTTTAGATTGGTAGTATTCTTGCATTTAATAAAGGGCAGTGGCCTTTGTTGACTGACATGACAATATTTTTATAAAATATGTTATTTGCTTTACAGAAATTTTGAAAATTATTGTAGAAATGTTTTTACCTCATATGAACCACCTGACATTGGAACAGACTTTCTTTTCACAAGTGTTACCAAAGGTATAATACTATTACCTGAAAGTACATGTTATAAGGAATCTAACCTCTCAGTCTTAGATAATTTATCATTAATTATGGGTCTGTTTTTCTAATATATCAAATATATTCAAAATAAAAATAAGGAGTAAATAGATCTCATGTGAGACTATAATCGTGTTAGTGTGATCATTAGGCAATTAAAAACTGTCATAGGCTGGGCGTGGTGGCTCATGCCTGTAATCCACGCATTTTGGGAGGCTGAGGTGGGTGGATCATCTGAGGTCAGGAGTTCGAGACCAGCCATGGTCAACATGATGAAACCCTGTCTCTACTAAAAATACAAAAAATTAGCTGGACATGGTGACTGGTTCCTATAATCCCAGCTACTTAGGAGGCTGAGACAGGAGAATTGCTTGAGCCTGGGAGGCAGAGGTTGCATTGAGTCAAGATCGCGCCATTGCACTCCAGCCTGGGCAATAAGAGCGATGCTCCGTCTCAAAAAAAGAAAGTTTTTATTTTCAGATTATATGAGTCTTTTGCTAATTGATTTTAAATTATTTGTAGTCAATTTTAAATGTTCGTGTATTTTAAAGCCACTGTATTCCAGCCTGGGTGAAACCCTGAATTCCAAAAAAAAAAAAAGCTGGAATATTGGCAAAATCAAGTAACTAAGATAAAACGTTAAATTCACAGACTACGTTATTACTTTTTAGATATATATGGTATACGTTTTCTCTGAAAAGCACAAGCATACTTTTTTTGTTTTAAATGGAGGCAACCAAAGATACTTTGGTGCCAAAATGAAACATTATTTGTAATTAATCTCTTATTGAAATGGGTTTCTAACTTTAGCTTTTAAACATAATCTTTCAGGTTTCTTGTACTCATAGTCACTTGATGATTCTCTATCTGAAATATTTCTTAGAATTTGTTCTTGACCACCAGAAAAAGATTCAACTATTACATAGATAAAAAAAATAGATGTTGAATGTTAACAGGCCTACGGGAAACAGTATCTTCTTTAACTACATTGTATTGTTGACTATGTTGCTATTCTTGTAATGTTTAGGCCATTTAAATTGTTAGAAAGATCCAAGTATTAAGATCTTAGGGTGGCTAACTTTTCACAGACAAAAAGCTTAGTTGTAAGGTCATATACTATACTCTTAATTCAGGAAGGTTATCTTGAATTGGGTCAAAAAGGAAACTGGTTAGAAAATAAGCAAGTAGTGATTAGGAGATTCAGTGCAAATTCCTTCCAGAAAATACCCTTGTAAATGGCCATACGAATGTGGACTCTTCAAGACAGTCAAGTTTATTGGGCAAAAGTAATACTTTTATGTCTTGCATTTCTAAAACGTGAACTTTGAGTGATTTTTTTAAAAAATTGATGCTATTAAATAGATCCAAACCATAGAAATGGAAAATAAATTTCTGTTTGAGGCTTTTGGGGGGAATTATATTGTAAAAGTACCTTTTCTCTATATTTTGTGCTTAATTAGGTACAATTGTTAAGCTAGATGACAGCCCGTGGATGTTACTAAGTGCAAAATCAAATTATCGTATTGCGTTTTCTCTGTAAAGTTTTGTCTTGTCTTTTCTAGTGATTTCTCTTATTACTGTTTATTACTTGATTTGTTTTTACAGACTGTGAAATTATTTGATGACATGGTATATGAATTAACCAGTCAAGCCAATGGACTGTCAAGCCAAAATTTGGAAATCCAGACTACTTTAAGGAATATTTTACAGGTAAGTCAAATGTATTAGAAAGCAGGAGAGAGAGGGAGTTTAAAGAATATCAGAATTTTTATACTGATACTGATTAGCCATGTATCCTTATGTAATGGTGTAATGTTGGAATTAAATGTATAGAATTAAAGACGTGAATATAGAAACATGAATTCTGAATAATAAACTCTTATAAGAAGACAAGTCATCAAGCTAGCTTACCCTACCTGTATTTTTTTTTTTTGAAACGGAGTCTCGCTCTGTCACCCAGGCTGGAGTGTAGTGGTGTGATCTTGGCTCACTGCAAACTCCTCCTCCCCGGTTCACACCATTCTCCTGCCTCAGCCTCCCAAGTAGCTGGGACTACAGGCACTCGCCACCACGCGCAGCTAATTTTTTGTATTTTTAGTAGAGACGGGGTTTCACTGTGTTAGGATGGTCTTGATCTCCTGACCTCGTGAGCCGCCCGCCTTGGCCTCCCAAAGTGCTGGGATTACATGCGTGAACCACCGTGCTCAGCCTACCCGACCTGTATTTTCAAGGTATATGTGTAGAACGCCTGCCATGTGTTTTGAAGTTTGGGTTAGGATTCTAAATGGCTAGACAGTTGTTCCAGTATTTGTAGTTCTGATAGACTAAAGTTCTGTGAAAAGAGGAACAGACTGTGTTTTGTTCACTGCTGTATTTGTAGCACCCAGCATACTGACTAATACCTTTTCAGTGCACAAAAAATATATTCTGAATGAAATTTCCTTCCTTATTCACAGACAATGGTGCAGCTCTTAGGAGCTCTTACAGGATGTGTTCAGCATGTCTGTGCCACACAGGAATCCATCATTTTGGAAAATATTCAGAGTCTCCCCTCCTCAGTCCTTCATGTAATTAAAAGCACATTTGTGCATTGTAAGGTGAGTAAAGGTCTAATTATACTTTGAATGGTATGTAATCAATGTGCATAGGGGCTGAGTAAAATAATGTTTGTATAAGATTTTACATTTTAGTCTGTATTGTTGAAATAAACTTTTCTATACAATAAAGAACATGTAAGTAAATAATTGTTTCAAAAAAAGTGGTTATAAGGAAGTCATTAAAAGTGGCTTTTTGGGGGTTTTTAGTTTTATTTTATTTCCCCTCTATAAAGAAAGAAATTTTAAGAATTTATGTTGAGACAGACACAGGGATCCTGAAATAGTTCTGTCATGTTGCATTGATCAATATTCAGTTACCATTATGATTAGATGTCAGAACTTCCTTTTATAAAGGGAAATTAATCCTTGTTTAGTCCATCTCTGCATTCCAAAGGTAGCCTTGAAGCACAAAAGCTTGCCTAGAATTTATGGGGTTCAGACAGTTCTAATATTGCTATTTGCTGAGCAAATGAAAATAGCTAGTTAATTAATACCTCTCTTTGCTGATAGGATGCTAAAAATGTCATGCACCTGGCCTAATGTTACCTTTCTTTTAGTTCTGTATTTGTAAGATCATGGAAGTCAAATAATATTTTATACATGCTTGCATCTCTTGAAGTACACTATATTTAATGGATAATGGATGTTCACTAAACAATCAATGTGTGATTCAGTAAATTTATGATTTCTAATAGTATGAATTAAAGTAAATTTGGTTCTTGAGCTTTTTATGATTTGTTTTTTCTCTCATTTTTATTTATCCGTAATCAGAATAGTGAATCTGTGTATTCTGGGCGTTTACACCTAGTTTCAGACCTTCTTCAGGCTCTTTTCAAGGAGGCCTATTCTCTTCAAAAGCAGCTAATGGAACTGCTGGACATGGTTTGCATGGACCCTTCAGTAGATGAGAATGATGATATTTTGAATATGGTAATAGGTGAGTGAAGAAAACTTTCTGCTTAGTATATGGTGACTGTAAATCATATATCAGTTAAAATTGTCTCTAATGATTCCTGTTATTTTCTTACTAATTATGCGTTAACATTGATTTAAATCTTACCAAATACATTTTAATCTTTAAATTTGGAATTTATAAAATTTATTTTGGGTGCCTTAACCTAGATTTGCGTATTCAGTTACTGTAATTTCTCCACAATGATTAACTTATATAACTTTATGTTCTCTGAGGTTGACCATATTCAGAGACAATAACTTTCACATTTTTTAAACCATAACTCATATTGAGATGCAGTTTATATTTCCTTCCAGAATACATATAAATATGTGCATATGTGTATGTAAATATGTCTATTCTCATATTATAATGAAGTATACTCATTTTACATGTAATGCACTTTATACTAGTTTATTTTTATTTATTTATTTATTTTTGACACAGTCTCCCTCTGTCGCCCAGGCTAGAGTGCAGTGACGCAATCTTGGCTCACTGCAACCTCGCCTCCCGGACTCAGGCGATTCTCCTGCCTCAGCCTCCCGAGTAGCTGGGATTATAGGCGTCCGCCACCACACCTGGCTAATTTTTGTATTTCACCATGTTGGCCAGGCTGGTTTTGAACTCCTGACCTCAGGTAATCCACCTGTCTCAGCCTCCCAGAGTGCTGGGATTACGGGCATGAGCCACCTTGCCTGGCCAATACTAGTTTATTTTTAAAGAATTGCTGGTTGTAGCACACTTCATTGATTTTATCACTCATTAATGGATTATGAACAAGAGTTTGAAAAACAATATAAGGGCAAAGTTTGCATTCAAAACTTTGGTATAAAGAGAGAAATTTGGTTTTGTGCAATGTATCAGGGCCCTGTCGCTCTGCAACACACCCTCTCAAAGTCTATTTATTCACTATTTTATTTATTCATGATTCTGTGAGTCTGCAGTTCAGGGTGGGATCCCCTGATAGAACTTTCTCTGATCCACCTGGGGCACTAGCTCACCCATGTGACTTCAGCGACTTCATTCACATCTGGCTGTTGGCAGAGGCAGAAGTACTTGAGAAAGCCGTGTGCATCATTCAGCAGGCTCATCACATCTCAGATACCTGATGCCAGTGGTTTCAGGGTTTCTAAGAGTAGCAAGAGTGAGCAGGTCCCTGTATGCTAGCACGTTCCAAGTTTCTGCTTGCCTTAATTTTATTATTGTCCCCTGGGCCAAAGCAGGTCATAGGGTTTAGCCCAGAGTCATTGTGGAAAAGTGTGAATTCACAAAGGGCAGTCATTGTGGCCATTTTTATAAGTAGTCTACCACAGGCTGAGTAAAAGCCTTGCATGAATACCATGGAAATTAATTTGAATTCTTCCTTTTTAGGAATTCCTTAGCAATTTGTTTTGTCATTTTGGATTAGAATTATATCTGTAGAATATTTCAGTTATAATAGGGTACAACTTTTATTCCACTGAACATTTTTAGTTTTATTTAGGTCATCAGGTAGGTATAAACTTCAAAAGTTAATTTCCAATAGGTATAAAAACCGTAACAAGTGTGACACTTAAATAGTTTAAATAATTCTTTTGACACAGCTATTTCCAAACTGTGTTACCTATTTTAATTCAATCAAATGTTGAAATTGTTCAGTAGATAGTGTTAATTATGGGAGAAACTCACCCCCATGATATTTGGATGTCTTAAAAGTTCTGTTATCTTTCTTTGCAGTTATTCATTCTTTATTGGATATCTGCTCTGTTATTTCCAGTATGGACCATGCATTTCATGCCAATACTTGGAAGTTTATAATTAAGTAAGTTTGTTTGTTATTTTTTACTTTTTAGAAAATGTTTTCCATATTCCCCAATCTTAATTATTCATGATTCTTTAGATTGCATTTGAAACATTTTGTGTGAATTTAATGTTCACTGACACTGCTGTCTGATAATCCAGATATTATACATGTAACTCTCAAGCCAAATTGGACTTCTTTACCCTGTGGCCTCTAAAAATAAAAAAAGTGTTTTTTCTAGTTAGCTAGTACTTCAGAAATAATGGGCGATGGGCCAGACTAGAACTTAACCACTTTCCTGCTGCTACTGTTGTTTAACCAGCTCTCAAGTATCCTATTTCTAGGATTAGATAAATTGGTAACTATAATTAGAACCGAATATATCCTTTTCATTAGGTACTTTTAAGTTGTTCACACTTAATTCCATTTATACAGTAATTTTAACTTTCTGAAACTGAAGCATTATAACGGGTCACCAGGGATAGTGCTTATAGCATTCATCAGATTCTTAGGGGTGAGAGGAGATGTAGTTGAGATGTAAAAATGGTTAAGAATATCTACTTTATACACATACATAAAACATTAAAGGTCGGTGTATTTTCAGGTGTTAGGTGCTTTTCTTCTATTACCAGGACATTAAGTTGCCATTCAGTGGTTAAGAGTGTTGCCTGGAAGCTGTGTCACATGTGCTTAAATCCATTCTGAAATCATTTACTCCTTCTGAGCCCTTGGGCTATTTGGTTAATTTCTCTGAACATTAGTTTGCTCATCTGAAAATGGAAATAATAATAGCACCTTCTTGACAGGGTTATAGTGAGAATTCAGTTCATCACTGAAATGCTTAGAACTGTGCATGACACATAGTTAATGCTCAAGGAATTAGCCACATCGCTATCATCACCACTGAATATCTTCCACTCTTACCCTCTTCCAGTTCATTTTCTACCCAGCAGAATGATCTTTTAAAAAGCAAATCAGTTCATGTCACTCTATTGCTTAACATCTATCCCATTTTACTAAGAATAACAACCTAATCCTCTCTGGACGCTGCCTCCTTCACCAGCCTGTCTCATGCTGCTCTCTCCCTGCTCTTAGTTCCTTAAACATACCAAACTCTCCTGTCCCAGAGCCTTTTCATGGTTTTTCCATCTGCCTAGGATGCTTCTCTCTCCTATTGTATACCTTGCTAACTCCTGCTTATTGTCTTTCAGTTCTCAGCTTAAGAGTTGTATCTTCATATAACATTCTTTGATATCCTTACGCTAAGAATAAATTAGATTAGGTCTCTCTATTGTAGCACCTTAGACTTTGTCATTTGACAAATCACAGCCCTAATTAATTATTCTTACAATTATTTAACATTCTCTCTCATGCTGGACCACAAGTTTCATGCAGGTAAGGCAGAGATTGTGTCCGTTTGTTTGACCCCTTTGTCCCCAGGGCCTGGTAGAGTGCCTGGTACATAGTAAGAATTCAATTAATATTTTACACAGAGAAAAAATTAGCAGCTTATTTAAACAAACATACCAGCTTCAAAGGTAAATAGGCATATCTTATTTATATTATGTCATATATGATGCTTTGTGATTGTTTTTTAAATGTTCTATAAGGTAGATATTGTTGGTGGTCCTAAGTTACTTGATGTGTTACTTGTGGTGATTGTATTCTTTTCTTTTTATTCATTTAGGCAGAGCCTTAAGCACCAGTCCATAATAAAAAGCCAGTTGAAACACAAAGATATAATTACTAGCTTGTGTGAAGACATTCTTTTCTCCTTCCATTCTTGTTTACATTTAGCTGAGCAGATGACACAGTCAGATGCACAGGTAAAATCTGGGCTAATAGCATTTTAAACAGCAACTCTTATTTTCTTTGGCAATTAGTAAATCTCATTTGAATGTCTGGGTCAGTCTGTTTAAGAGGATTTTAATTTATTTCATTTGGGTGTTTTTTTGGATCTGTGGGATTATTTATAGCCCATAATTACTTCTCACCCAGAGCATTGCATTAGATTCCTAACTGCTCTCGTTGCCTCTAGGGTCTACCTGACTCCCTCTTTGCATTGTAACTGGTTGGTTACAGCATTCTTCTCTGAATCCTTTCATTCTTTTCTGCATGAAAACATAAATTATTTTGTTCATATTTATATAACATCTAATATAGCTGCAATCAATCTTGCATTTTTTCTTCACCAATGCATTGCAACCTTTAGGGATACAAGTATGTTTGTGCATGTATATATATGTATCAGTCTTTTAAAGTTGAGGTATTCATACATTCATTTTTATTTCGAAAAGTTAGAGCGTTGAATTGGTATTCCATTTATGAAACAGATTAAATTTGTAGTACGATTATTGGGAATTATAACTCATTAGTACCTTTTGCTTTCAGACTAGCCCTCTAATTTTATTTAACTATAATAGCCCTAAATTATAAGATTAATAGTACTCAGGACCTAACAGTTATATGTAATTTTTTTTTTTTTTGAGACTGAGTCTCACTCTGTCACCAAAACTGGAGTGCAGTGGTGCAGTGGTATGATCTTGGCTCACTGCAACCTCTGCCTCCCGGGTTCAAGGGGTCGTCCTGCCTCAGCCTCCTGAGTAGCTGGGATTATAGGTGCCTGCCACCACGCCTGGCTAATTTTGGTATTTTTAGTAGAGACGGGGTATGTTGGCCAGGCTGATCTCGAACTCCTGACCTAAGGTAATCCACCTGCCTCGGCCTCCCAAAGTACTGGGATTACAGGTGTAAGCCACGGCGCCCAGCCTGTATGTAATAATTTTAATGGGACCATGAATTTAGTATTTCTTCTTTGAATAGCAATGACATAGCCCGTTCTATTGTACATGTGCAAGCTGATATAGGGAATTCTTTTGTACCTGTGCTCTTCCCTGCCAGTCAGCTATGGGGGTGAAAGTGTAGGGATTCATCCAAGTCCTAAAACTGGTAGTAACTCCTAGGGCAGGGATGATCTGGAAGGACAGACCCTAGGGGAGGATGGAACTTTAAAAAGAAATTCTGAAGGTAGTAAGAAGGAAATGAGGAGTAGTGTTAGGAAGGGGCTAACTTTTTTCTTCTTGTTTCTCTTTATCTCACCTGCCCCTCCCCTTATAACTCTTCTTCCTTTTTCCCTTTTCTTTTTTGTTCTCACTTCATTCATGCGTCCTTTCTGATTCCTCTTACCTTGCTAAAAGGAGAAGTTAGTTTGGGTATCCTGTATCAATGGCAGGAAGGTTGTTTTCTTCTTCACCTTTGTCCTGTAGATTCATATTCTCAACCCCAACCTCCTCTTTCAGTTTCCTTCTTGCTTCTCTTGACACCACAGATTTTCCAGCTAGTACTTGGAGAGGAAAATTAAACAGAGATATTTGGACAGGATTAAGATGAAGAAAGCCTAAGCAACAGTATAGTCCATAGTGGCGAGAGAGAGTATGGGGGCTGCTTAGCCAGGGTGGCTGTTTATATATAAAGGATATTTTCAGTTTATATAAACTGCTTATAGATGGACATCAGAAAATTTAAATTCTCTTAACTGTCCAAGAAAATTCTCATATTTTTACTCATTTGTTCAAATTTGGGACTGATAAATGTGACCAGTTCTGCTTACTGTCCATTGCCTGAAATGGAGCTTTGAGGTGGACTGTATAATTTCTTCAATCTTAACTCCAGATTCTGATCAGTGATGCCCTCTGCTGCTCACTGTTAATATTTATTTACCAATCAAAGTGAAGTATTGAAGTTTTCCAAGCAGTTTTCACTTTGTGTCTTAGTCCGTTTAGGCTGCTATAACAAAATCCCTTAAACTGGGTAAGGGATTATAAATATTAGAAATTTATCTCTCACAGTTCTGGAAACTGGGAAGCCCAATATCAAGGCACCAGCAGATTTGGTGTCTAGTGAGGGTGTACTCTCTGCTTCGAAGATGGCCCCTTGCTGCTGCATCCTCACTTAGTGCAAGGGGCAAGACACCTCTCCTCAACCTCTTTTATAAGGGCACTTATTCATGAGGGCAGAGCCTTCGTGACTTAATCACTTCCCCAAAGGCCCCACCTCTTAATAGTATCACTTTGGGTGTTAGGTGTCTGGGAGGACACCAATCTTCAAGCCATATCATCTCACTTTGAAAAAAGTCACAATAAAACCAGTAGATTTAATTAATATTACACTATTTATGGAAGCACGTGATGTGTCATTCCTTGTATTAATTTCCTGGGGTTGCCATAACAAATTACCACAAACTAGGTGGCTTAAAACAATAGAATTTTATTCTGTCACATTTCTAGAGGCAAAAGTTCACAGTGTGTCAATAGGGCCATGTTCTCTGGAAGGCTTTAGGGGAGAATATATGTCATATCTTTTTCTTAGCTTCTGGGTGTCACTGGCAATCTTCAGCTTACTTTGGCTTGCAGCTGTGTAACTCCACATGCTGTTCTCTTTCTGTGTCTTCACATCATCTTTTTATAAGAACACCAGTGATAGTGACTAAGGGCATACCTTACTTTAGTATGACGTCATCTTAACTAATTATGTCTTCAATAACCCTATTTCCAAATAAGGTCACATTCTGAAGTATTGAGAGTTAGAACTTAAAGCTTTCTGAGAGGGACACAGTTCAATCCATAACAACCCCTAAAATTGATACTTATTCTCAAGTCTTGAAATTGGTTTTAAAAAGAGAATATTCTATTAGAGTTTTTAATGTATAGTTTTAACATATAGTTCTTTAGCCCCCAATTATTTAGTTTTTCTATAAACCTAGGGAAATTTATTTGTGTGGCCCTTAGAAATAATTTAATTTCCACTCTAATTCCTACTTATATTTATATAATGCTTTTAGAAATTTGTATTATTCAGGAAATAAACATATACTATTGTATCTGTTGCCTACACTTAGATTTTATTGCCTGCTACATTTAAATTTTATTAGTATTTTAGTTGTTTTAGTTATTTTAGAAAGAATGTGCCTGTAATCTCAGCACTTTTAAGAGGCCAAGGCAGAAGGATTGCTTGAGCCTAGGAGTTCGAGACCAGCCTGGGCAATACAGGGAGACCCCCATCTCTACAAAAAACAAAAAAATTATCCAGGCCTCGTGGCATATACCTGTAGTTCTAGTTACTTGGGAGACTGGGGCAGGAGGATACATTGAGCCCAGGAGATTGAGGCTGCAGTGAGCCGTGATCGGGCCACCGTACTACAGCCTGGACAACAGAGCGAGACCCTGTTTAGATAGATAGATAGATAGATAGATAGATAGATAGATAGATAGAAGATAGATAGATAGATAGACAGACAGACAGATAGATAGACAGACAGACAGATAGATAGATACCTGGACAACAGAGCGAGACCCTGTTAGATAGATAGATAGATAGATAGATAGATAGATAGATAGATAGATAGATAGATACCTGGACAATAGAGTGAGACCCTGTCTAGATAGATAGATAGACTCTGTCTAGATAGATAGATAGATAGATAGATAGATAGATAGATAGATAGATAAGGAAAGAAAGAAAGAAAGGTGCTCATATTTTAAAGCATTGAAAAATGGTCTTCCTTGCTTATATTACCCACACCTTTGTTGGCATTGAGATGCAAACTTTGTTTTAAACAGTTGAGTAAATCAAAGATGGGACTGTTAATTTATTTGTGTTATTTACTTGCTTTTTGAAAATGTAAAAATAAAACTCTAGATTTAATTAGTAGTATACTATTTAGTGGTGAAGTAAAGCTACAGGCTTCGAACAAATCTTGCGTAATTTCCTCTTGAATGAGAGAGAAAATTTAAGCAAACAAATAAGTTGTGTGTCACCACTCATTCAGTCATTTAACAAGAGTGCTTATTCCGTGCCAGAAAATGTTGTAGGTGCCCTCAACAACTTAAGAGTCTAGCTTGAAACACAAATAAGTAGGTAATTATTATAGAATGGTGTGATCTTTGGAGGACTGGGTATTGGCTGGCTCATGGGAGTACAAGATAGGTATCCAGTGATGAAGTCAGGAACAGTTTCTTATGGTGATATGACGTCTATGCTGAATAAAATGTATTATGAGGTCAGTGTAGATTAATCTTTAAACTTTGTGCTTTTAAATTTGCATAGCACTCTATTAGAGAGTTCATTTTCAAAACAATCGAAAAGGCTGGGTGTGGTGGCTCATGGCTGTAATCCCAGCACTTTGGGAGGCCGAGGTGAGCAGATCGCTTGAGCTAGGAGTTCGAGACCAGGCTGGCCAACATGGTGAAACCCCGTCTCTACTAAAAATACAAAAATTAGCCCAGAGTGATGGTGCACACCTCTAATCTCAGCTACTCGGGAGACTGAGGCAGGAGGATCACTCGAACCTAGGAGATGGAGGTTGAAGTAAGTCGAGATTGTGCCACTGCACTCCAGCCTGGGCAACAGAGTGAGACTCCATCTCAAAAAAAAAAAAATTCAAAGAAGGATGAATTTTCATCTACCCTACTTCTGCTGAGGAAAATTGACTATTTTCAAATATTTTTAATAAACATGAGGTATCATGTTCCATTAGCGAACCATCCAACTCTGTTTTGACTGGGTTTAATGAAGATTTTACTCTATTGGAAAAGAAATCAAACATAGCCAATTAACATATAAGTTAAGATATGTTATTTTCATATGAAATAATTCACAAATTAAAGACAGTAATTTGTTTGACTTAATTTTATGGCACTATTTAAAGCTGTTTGGATTATAGTGTGTATTATAAACTTGGGTGATGGAACAACCAATATTTATTGAGCTAAGGTGCTTAAATGTCAGACACTGTTTAAATCTCACAATAATCCTGTATTAGCCTCAT